ATCCAAATCACTTCGTACTTTTTCGATCAGACTTCTCAATTAAAAGGTATAGACGAGAAACCAATTTCGAAAGAAATTTCAAAGGGCTGTAACTTTTGAACTAGTAGCCCAATATTGGAACTGTTTGAAATTATGGATTCTACAGGCCACATTCTATAAGAAAATTTTTTTTCCGGGTCGATCTGATACAACTTCTTTTGCGGGCCTCAAAAAAAGGCAGTGTATAACCTTCCTTTTTTACCAAAAATCGACTACACCAAAATTTCTCGGGAAAACACGTTTTCTTATTAATTTTGGTGCGTAGAATCCAAAACAATTCGTACGTTTTCGATTAGCCTCTCAATAAAAAGTTATGGACAAAAAACAAATTTCGAAAAAAAATTCAAAGGGCTGTAACTTTTGATCTAGTAGCCGAATCATCAAACTGTTTGAAATTATGAACTCTCGATCGATCTCGATCTCAGACAATTTTTTTTCCGGCCTCAAAAAAAGGCAGTACTTTTAAGTTATTCAAATGTTTAAGAACAATTTAGAAATGTTTAGGGAAAGTTTCCATTGTCATAAAAATCCGATACATCTGAATACCGAACTCGATAGTCTACGTAACTTGAAGGCAATAGGGACCTTTCTTATATCCTTAAGTCCATGTGTACCAATTTTCAAAGCGATCGCACGTTTCTAAACAAACTATCATGCACACCGACAAACGGATGGTCAAAAATGGATCTGTTCCAAAATCGCTAGGATTAATTTCAGAAAGGCGTACGTATCTTGTGCACGACGTACCATCGCTTTGAAAACTGGTACACGTATTCTTAAGGATATAACTGGTATAAGAAAGGTCCTGGTAGGTACCTCCTATATAATAATAATAATACTACTACTATAACTTGATTTTTTAAGTAGTATTAAGCCTTTTATCTAGTATACTATTTTAAATTTTTAATGTATTTGAGTGACACAAGTATTCGAATACTTTTGAAAGTATTCGAATACATTCTAAAGTATTTAAATACTTATTTTTTTAAGTATTTGCATACTTTTCAATGTATCTGTATCTAGTATTCCCTTGTGCTGGACGTAAACGTATTTAGTATTCAAATACCTTTGATTTGTAAGTAAGTAATCCATTTTTTGACATGTGCATTCATTTTACATTTAAAATTTAAAATGTGCAATTTCATTTTATAGCAAGAATCCTACGCTAAAATTTCAGAAGCATTGGTGGAAATTAACGAATGTAGATCTGGGCATGCGCAATAATTGTTTTACGTGTTTTTACTTTGCGCATGTACAATTTATTTTTTGATATGCATCTAATCCATTCCTTCTTTCTTTTAAAATTTCAGAAAAATCCATCCATAAATAAGAAGCTAGCACTGCGCTTGCATACGTCGTTTCAATTCGGTTTTATTTATTTATTTTTATTTACTTTAAAAAAAATTCTTTTTTGCTGCAAGCCTCGAAACCATAACGAACCAAATAGCGAAAAAGTCCAACAATTCCAGTAGCGCCAGGGACTGGCAGACGGACGGACAAAATGACCACACTAGCGCATGCTTTTTATTTCTGTGGAAATGCGCTAAAATGTATACCGTACAATGTAGTATGACCTCAAGTGTGACGTACAGACAAAGAGTGCGATTACCAAAAAGAATTCCTGATTACGCCTTCCGGTTTGGTCGAAAAAGTAATCGAATTGCAGCTTCTAAATACCATTTTAAAACAGTGCTCGAGATTAGAGTGACCCATTTCTTTTGTAATTACTCGAGATTTTTTATTTCTCATCCCTTTAATTTAGGACAACACCATACAGATTTGTAATGAGAATTTTGTCCCAATTGATGATGAAAGGAGGTAGATAATTTTGCAATATCCATTTTGGGAGACTTTTTGAAATTCAAGACAACGAAGTCGATACAGGCTCAAGAGAAAAGAATAGCTTGTAAGCCTTTAATGCTGGGTATTATAGGGAAATGTATGTACCAAACGACGATTTGCATGTAGATTTCGGAAATGCAATAAAATATAGGGTGTTCTATTTAAAATTAGAAAGTGGCTATACACATAATATTTTCTTTTGATAGATCATTAAAAACTATGTTTGTGTCCAAAATCTTCAGATTTAAATTATCAATGAGAGCCTGAATACTTTTAGGTACCTATAACGGCCTGAAACAGCCTGTAAACTACCAAATATGTATAGCACTACCCAAATTTGAACGTGAACAGACAGGGTGTCAAATTTTAGCGAGAAAAATCTTCAAAATTTTTCTTCACACAACTGAGTATTGGTTTTGTAAACTCGCATATAAATATTGTGAAAAATAAGTGTTAAGAAACTTATTTAAACGGGAAAAAATCCTTGTTTATCTTGTAGAACTTCATTAGCAAATTAAATTCCGCTTTTCTAGACGATAGGAATTCACAAATACAAAATGTTGATATAAGTAAGCAAATCTAATCATTAAATAAATGAACAAACGCAAATAGTCTTAAATTGATAACTGATAAATATGTATGAGAAATGTGCAGGCTCAATGAAATGCTTTGATATACGTCCGCATCCGTTTAGCTTTTTCTAAAAATAGCCTGAAAGCAAATTGTAAACTTAAAATTGCCTGTGGTTTGTTACTTTCGCCCCATTGTAGATTCAGACGAAAAATAGAATGCCAATATCCAATGGTTTTATCCATCTGTTCCTCATCTAATTCGAGAATGAAAAGAGACCAAATCGATTTATATCGAGTTCAAGCATCAATGCTATTGAATATGAGCCGGATTAAAAGTCTGGTTTCCGAATGCGAGCTGAGTGTCAAAAAATTCCCCCATTAAAAATTCTATGCGATTCTTCTCCATCTTTTAATAATTTTTCTGTTATAAATTTCTACCTTTTAATGATGACAAAGATTAGTATCTTGCACTTCTGCTCACATAGAAACTAGCGGTTTTTCATTTCATAGGTTTAATGACTTACAGTGGAGCAAAGAACAAAATTGTCAAATAGACATCTCATCTAATTTTTGAGAAACAATGGTAAAATACAGATATCATCAAATTCTGCCAAAAATATGCCACTGGAGCGAATGCTTTATATACGTGAATGTTTTGGAAAAATTACCCTTTTGTCCATCCGTCCGTCTGGCGCGTGTGTTTAATGATGTATGAAAGTAAACATTTCTCTTCTCCAGGTTCTTCCGGATTTTATTGACGAATTAATTATTATAATGGGATTGTTCAAATTGATTTATTGTCAAAATCAATTTTTTTAAATCATTTTTGAACACAAAAATGATACTAAGAAATTAACCAATTAAAACGAAAAACATCAAAAGTTAAAATTCGCAGATTTTGGTATGGCAAGGACCGTTGTGTGTTCGTTTGACGAATGAGCTAAATAAGGGCATCACATTAACGGTGGGATACTTGTGATAACTGATAAGATTTGTCATTGAATGGCACTTTATAACAGAAGTCCAAGACGGCAAAAATGTACAAAAAAATGTAAATCTAAAGGTTGTTGGCTATTATAGCACCTCCGGCATATTTTCGTTTCTTACGATCGGCGAACCTTTTGCGATTAATAGAACAGATTTTAAAGGAATTTATATGGACAGTTTCTAAACGCCCTTTCGTGGGGATTTAACCCTTTAGGCGTATCTGATCTGTTTGTTCGTCTGCGAGGTATTTTTATATTATAGACACTATAGGGTGTAATGCAAGTCGAGGGTAAAGTACACAACAAAATCCAAAGGTAGAAGAGACCAAAACGAATGAAAGTAACGAATACATACCTATACATTTATGAGCAATGATTTTCATGGAAGTAACGAATCTAATATCATATGTTGCCTCTATACAGGGTAAGCATTTGTCTCTAACCTGGATATATCTTCAAAACAAGATTTTTTTACCCATTGTACCCATTGGAGGGCTTGGACTTTTCATCGAAGATAATGTCGAAGTCAGTGAAAATTTCATCCTACAGGAGACCAGTTGTCGGGTTTTGCAAACTCGATCCCTATGAAGTCACACCGGAGGATGTGAGGGAGAAAGAATATTATCGAGAGTAAAACATTTTTCAATAAGTTGTGGTAGATTTTTTAGTCTGTCAGTTTTTTTAAAGATAGTTTTTTAGCACGTAAGGCTTTTACAATGGGCAAGCTGAATTAATGTTTGCTCAACATCAATAAAGGTAACAGTATTGTACACGAATCAATGAAAACTGCATTCCGATGAGTTTAAAAGGGCAATTGATCATTGATCTTCAAATTGAAAGTCAATGAAATTATCTGTCTGAGACTTACAATAGATAAATATCAGCCAATTGGACAAATTTGGTGATTGACATTGAAATTCGTAACGCACAGTCACCAACACGCGTTTCCTTAGTACTCTCGTGGACTAATTACCAGGAAATATGTACTTTTTAAAGGATACCGTAAACACAAATTTTTTGTGGTCATGGTGCAACATACATAGTCAATGGACTTTATTTAATTTTTTTAACGTTGGCGCAGGAAATTCTTTGCTAATTCAATTTTCCTAAATTCGGGTCCATTATTTAAAACAAACTTTTTCGCGAGTTTAAGTAGCGTTAAATCTGATTTTAAGCGTTTCGACATGAAGCTCAAGGGTAAATAAATTTTTTTCAATTTTTCAGCTCTACATCGATACCAAACGAATTTTGGTCGAATAACCTTTGAAATCTAAGAGACAAAAACTGAAGAGTTTAATAAGGACATCGATCTCCTAAATTATCTTCTTAAGCACCTGTGTCGCACCCACTTAAACCATCCCGAGTACTTTGCGTAATTGCCAATATTTTCAAAAGCCCAAAAAGCTGCTGGTGACTCAAAGGTGAAACACGTGTTAAGATGACAAAGAGCTTGTGTGTACTATCGAGGTCGAACAGCTGAGTTTTGTTTACGTCTTTGTGTTCAGTTAAATAACCGAGCACTTCTTTACACAAGAACAAATGGTTTTAAAAAAAAACTTACGCTTTCGAAATATTCCCTCTCGTACACTGTAACTTAAATTTTCAAATCCTACATTACATTCATGTCGCCTGTTTCTAACAGGTATATCATTTTCAGGTATTCGCAATAATTCCACTTTGAGTGAATCGGGCCGAGTTTTTGGCACACTAACTAAATTATCGTCCATCGCGGTTTAATTTAAAAATTAAAAAAATACATGAGACGCGCTTCGATTGTACCTCTCGAAGTAGTGAGGTATAGTTTGTTACAACTGTAGCGTATACACTCGCTCGAGAACTCACTATCGTTAAGATAAATTTTTTTGTTACTCCCCTCTCTGTTATTATTACTACTACAATAATTAATTGACATCTTTTAAAGTTTTGTTTGGGGAGAAAAAATTACAGAGGAGAGAGTTTATTACATCTACATTGTAATTGGGTAAGTAAATAATTTATGCGCACTTTCACGTGTGATATCATAGCGCAGCGGATTTGAATTTTGATTTACTCTGCCACTTTTACATAATTTTTATTTTGTTATCGAACGAAAGACAAACACAAAATAAAATGTCTTTTTAATGTGGGGTATTTACAATAATTAATTCTAATAGCGTGTTTATTAGGAGTTTTCATGGGAAGCAATGAACTTTTTTAATTACAAACCATTAAACGATATTAAATGAATAGACCGTTTTTTAATGGATCGAGAAACGCGTAATGTTCCCATGTTAGTAGAAGGGCAAAAGCCAAAACAATTAGTCGAGATGTGGGTAAATATTGCATTTATTTCCTTAGGATCTCTATTCAAAATGATAATTAATATTTTTTAAACTAGACACTCAACTCTTAGACCACTCGCAATGACGTGTAGTGCGAAGTGTTGCATAAAATGTCCATTCCAAGTAGAAGGGTAGAAAAAATTTTAAATCTAAGATTTCATAAAAAAAACCGAGAAAACTTGCAGTTATGAAATGCGATATCCGTGGGACGGTATGCATGTTGGTTGGTGTCAAGGGTTCTTAAGGAACTCTTCCCTTATGTATAGCCCTACTATTCTCTCGATCGGTTTAAGGATAAAGGGCGACAATATGATAGGTTGGTAACTCTTGAGTTGGTCCCTGGACCTTTTGCTTGCCTTAAGAATAAAAACCACACCCACTTTCTGTCAGTACTTAGGGATATAGCTTACAGCTACAGCATTGTTTTAAACAATGCTTCTACTAGAATTGACGTTAATGTCTCAGTCTGTAAGGAGAATGGGGATAATTATAATCTCCCCAGCTTGATTTATAAGGCCACTAACATTGCAGCACCCAGTGGGCTTTTTATTAAATACTCTTCTGATGACTTTCCTGAGCTTTCCTAGCTCATTAATTATTCCACCAGAGAGGGGACAGCTCTCATCAAAGGAGGTCTGGTGTACCAGTAATTAAGAAAGTTCCAAGAAACGGATTTCATTTTCAATCCATGCATCTTGTTCTTCTGAAAAATTGTTAGAAACCATTTTCGCACAAATTTTTCTCATCCCCAATCCATTACACTTTCATGAATGGGTTGTATGATTGGCAACCGATTTGAACGAGCCAGATCACTCATTTTTGGACGAGGTACAATCAGTAACTTTACAAGGAAAATTATTACAGACTGCCACATGAACATACTGAACTCAAAATATTGTTCTGTGTGCGTATACATGTCTACCAACTGCTCCTTAAAGTTTGGCACCAACAAAGTGGAAATTATCAATTTTTCCAGCAGACAACACTAATTTACTGCATTTAAGGACTTATACACTTGGATAAAATCACAGTAAGTGAATTCTTGAAGTAATTCCTTTTAATATTATTGTATTTTGTATGAATTAAACGCTTAAAGGGAATTGTATGACAAGACTAGTTTTTATTTATATTGAAGTTATTAATTACCTAATTGTTTATACACACATGCTATTTTACCCAATTAGATTATAAAATCGCATAAGTTTAGAATGTAATCCCAACAAATATAATAAAAATCCCGATGCACGGAATATCTAAAAACCTCCCTTATTATAGCTCAGTAACGGGATTGATTTTTTACATAAATCTAACTACCCTATGCCTTTTAATATACTATGCAGCAGTAAATATACTGTTCCATTTAAATTTCTGGAGAAACGGCCCAAAGAATAGGATGATCCTAAAACTCCATCCGGTAAATATGAGTAGTCCTAAATGAATTCGTTAATTATTGAAATCTTTCTGTATCGACTTTTAAATCTAACTTACCAAGTTTCTAAAAATCCATGAAGCAGCTACATGTGTAGAATTTTTTAACCCTCCTTACCTTCCTTAATTTCCCAATAGAGAAAAATACATTAGGAATATTTTGTTTGCAATAAATTTTCCGATTTTTGGGATAACGCTATTTCCTATCATTCAATTTGATTTTTTTCTTAAAATTCCGGTTGTTTGTTTAGACGAGTGGGGGTGCATGTTTAAAGCGATTACCGTAGGAACCTAAAAATAATGTCTATCATTTTCTGTATGTGACTTTTATTTAAACAAAATTTACCCCAAAACTCTATCTTATTCTTTATTACCGCTCTTTGTGTACCGGGTGAATATTTTAAAACCGAACATAGGCAATTAACATGGGAAAAACGTTTTTTGCAGATCGTTTCTCCCGATGTTAACTTAGAGGGTTTATAATGACACCGAAATGACACCAATCAAAAGAAAATTTTTTTTCTCATCTAATGGTGTACGAATTAGTTTATTTCCAGGTGTGTATTTCTCATTATTTTATCAAATGCGACAATAAATCCAATTAGCAAAGTCATGTTAAGCCATGATGGAAATTTCGTAAAGAATTGAAATAGGTTTTCACACAGATGGAATGGGACGCTCATTAAAATGCAAAGAAAACAAATATCGCGTACTAGAGTAAATATTTCCGCTGAAAACGTTTATTATAAATAATTTTTCCTCAATGAACAGCATTTTACAAAAAAATTAATGCCAGTTGTCATAAACTGAGATTGATTTCGACGTTTAAATCTACTTTTTGTCTTATATACCTTAACATGATTTTGGTAAGTGGATTTATTGCCGAATTTTTGATAAAATAGTGAGAAATACACCTGAAAATGAACTAATTCGTATATCAATAGACGAGGAAAAATATTCTTTCGATTGGTGTCACTATAAACCCTCTAAGTTAACACAAAAAACCTTTTTCCCGCATGTTAATTCCCTATGTTCGGTTTGGGAATATTCACCCGGTATATGCGTTTATTAAAATTGATCCAATTTTTAAAAAAAACGAGCCTTTTAAAGACATACGTACCCATTTGCACGATGCATAATTTCACGCGCTTCGCTAAGGGGATTGTCTTTAAAGGCGCCCGTTTTTTTAAAATTGAGTGTCAATTTGAAAGTGATTAAGGCTTTTTAGTGTAATTAAATCGAGATCCCTAGAAATTGGGGTTAGTGTAAAGTGTAAAGTGATTTATTAGCATCATAAACACATAAGGTATATGATAATGCAAGTCAAGAGTAAATTACAAGAAATATGTATCTTACTTCTTCAATATACCTAATATTTAAGCAGAATTTGTGCTATAAATCATCAGATTTTAGAAAACTTAATAAACAATAATAAATTTATAACAATCTTAAAACGAATGGATTTGTAACAGCTAACATATTATTTATCATCGGTTTTAAAGGCGTCATTCCCGTTTGCAGTATGATCTTTCGAATTTTCTACTTAAATCTAAGATGGTCTACCCATAAGGTGAGATGAACTGAAAGCTGAGAAAAATGTAATGCAAGAATGGGGAAAGCTTATAATAAGAACTTGAGGATGACTTGAAAACAATTTGAAGACTTCGAGATAAAGAAATTGAAAGGTGCCAGTTTTACTCAGGTTTTCGGAGATGCACTTTCAGAGTTTGTAAAAATGGCTTGAAGCCCTAAAACAAGTTGCGGAGAAATTTGGTATCTAATGAGGATTTTTAAAAATTAAAATATCAAATAATCTATTCCCATATACAATTTCATTTATGAAGTAACAATCCCTTGGCATAATTGAACCATCGAGTCAATTTAGAAATATCCCTCAGTCAATCTAATAATGAAATGCGTACCTACTTAGAGTGCATTTCCTAATTAAAATTATAATAATCCCGCTTTCAAAGAAATTAAACTTTGGATAAACTGAAGGTACCTATACTGTATTAGGGATGTGAATGTGTTATGCGGAAATGGGAATTGTGTCATTTAGAATTTACAAGACCTCAAATTCATTTCTTTTTATATATCTGACCAGGCATCTAGGATAAAATTATATAATTTCTTGCTCTTTTATTTTTACAGTAGGTACAGCAGTACATCGATTTCTAATCTGTTCCTCCTGAAAAGAAAGCGAGCTCCCTATGGAATTGTATTTTTTTATGTGTGCGTTTTTGTTTTGTGTTAGTTTACCTATACCTATTTAGACAAAAATTGTAAGATATAATTATGTACCTAGTAATGTAATTTTATTTAACATTGTTTCTCGTGTTCGACACCAAATTGGTATAGAGAATAAACACTATCTATCTCTCTATCTTAATTAAAGCAGCAGTTATCGAACCGAACTCTCGTTTTAAACATAGGTATTCCTGAAAATGATTTAGCGTAATACAAGTCTCGTATAAATTGAACTCTTAAATTTCGATTATTATAATTTAACAGGCTATTTATTACTCCAGTAGAATTTAACAGAAAGAAGATAGACCTGGAACATTAATTATGATGTAGTAGCAAAAAAACTTTCAAATGAACTTGATGCAAGAGGTGTTAAGAAGTATCCCTAAACCAAAGATAGTAGGTATCTTTGCCCAAACAGGTTCTTCTAAAGAGAGAGGTCGGCTTCAACACAGGGCCTTATACTAGCGATAGGACCTGGTGGTGGGTCAGGTCCTATTCGCAAGAAGAATAGGACTAGCACACAAAATGCAATGGCCAGGAAGCGGGCTCTGACCAAAGACGGTTACCCATTGTTCCCGGAAGTGGACTTCACTGAGCCTCTGTCGAGGTGTTATGGCTGCATTGAATGCAGTTGTTGACCAGAAAAAGGCAAAGGGGGCCTTCCCTTGGCTGGTAGCGTTGCGCTGGAATCCGCAGGGTGCAATTTTGGCCGAATGAGAGGACATTATGGACCTGAGACTGGTTGAAGAGGACCATCCCGCCGCCGCATCTCTGAACGAAGGGAATGGCTGTGTTATACGACCTCTCGAATGACACGGGACAAGGCTCCACCGGAGCAGCGGGACCCAGTTCCGTTGCGAGTGAGGGAGCTCAATCCCTCGTTATCGTCGATCGTCCTCCAAGGAATGTATGGATTACTACCTACAGAGCAATTTGCAGCACAGTAAGGACCTGTTTAAACAACTCGCTGTAAAGCAGACAGGCGTATGCCTTAAACAAGAACCTTTGGGTTTACAAGAGAAGCGTAAAAGAGGTCTAGGTCAGGTGGAGGAGTCTCTTTATTATAAGAGGGACAGCCAACTGAACCCTAGGACTTCCATTTATGTCGATAGACGAATCCAGTTTTATCTAATGGTTGATTTCTGTTTCAGGGATCTGACGTCAGCTGAAAGATGGCAGATGGCACCTTTCAGGGAGTTGATAGAGTACTGTCAAAATGACGGACTCTCCTCTTGTGGGCATAAAAGCTGTGGAAATGGGTTCAATTCTCAGTAGGGACCTTACCTTGATGCCTTAGTGAAAAGAAGTCGATCATTGGGTCTTTTTGATGAATATTGTGTAGTGTGTACCTATTTAAGCGTCCCTAAAGTGTTAATGCTTTCTCAATTGTGCAATAAACTTGAAGATTAGGTATATTATGTAGTTCCATTTTCAAATGCCTAAAGTAGTCCAGGTTATGCATGTCTAAAGACAAGCAAATTTGAAGCTCATCTGTATTGTATGGTACACGTAGTTCGATTTAAACAATTCCTACTTCAGCACCCTTAAACCTTCAGAATATTTAAACAATTCTGTTCCTAATAAGCCTCCTTTCAGTAGGGATACTTAAATTTTCATTCTAAAGTACTGAAGGAAACAACACCTATTTTAAACATATTTATTAAATATCGATTTAATCATCTTGTACAATCGTAGTTTTCTCAGATACGTATAAACCATCTAAGAATTTACGAATATCCTTGTTCTTAACGGTTGTGGATTGTTGAATCAAAGCTGCAGACCTTGAGACATCTTCCAGCGAATTACCTTCGATAATAAGTTCGTCCTTCTGTTTCTGCGAGTTTTTGACTGTAACTCCGGGCGACATTTTAACTCGTCGAATATACTTTTCGCCTAAGAAGTTTCTGATTTCTAAAACGGAGTCTCCCTCAGACGACGTGCAATTAATGGGGAAGTGAGCGTATACGGCACGCATTTTATACTGATAGCCCTTAATTACACCCTTAATCATATTTTCGACGTGCGAGCACACTGTACGCACCGCAGCGAGTTCTTTGCGCTTGCCGAACCATTTCTCTACCAGTAGCTTCCTCGGGTTGACCATACGGATGTCGACAGACAAGTGTTTGAATGAACGTTTCAGTGTTCCTCGGGGCCCCTTTACGGTAACATTGCGATTCTTGGCTGTTACCGTTAGGTTGCTGGGGATCTTCACCGATTGGTTCGTCACAATTTGCTTCATATTGCTAAAAAAAAATAATGTTAATCTCAAAGAACATAACCTAAATAAATGACAACAAATGTGTTTGAAAAGTCCGTGTCAATTAAATACATTCTTAAAATTGTAAAATTTTGTACCAAAAAGAATTTCCGATCTACTTGAAAAGTCTACTTTTATGGATGATTTAGAAATTTTTGGAAAAAACCATTTACTTACATCGCTTCTTACACGGTACAAGTGGAAAAGGAACGTTGGTCCAGTTTAGTGGGTAACCGCTAGGTGGAGCGATCGGCGAAGCAATTGATGAATACAGGGTGCGTCAACATCTTTTTAGTTCTGTAGTTTACAATAAAGTCTGAGTAGGATAGTCGATAGTCTTTGCTTACAGGAAAAGAAATATCAATTTCAATTTATCAATCCCAATCTAATTAAAGAAGAGTTACACGCGTATATAACCAAGGGGTTGTGGGGGATTTTCAGAACCCCCTCAAAAGATACTGTTACATAAAAAAATCCAGGGATGAAAACTCAAGTGTAACATATTGCAATAGATATCGAGGGGCTGAAGCGATTAAGAATTGAAACACTATTGATATTGTGAACGTTATTCTTTCAACGATACAAAAAACATTTGAGTGCATACAAAGGATTTGAAGGGATTTAAAGAAGTTTGATGGAATTTGGGACGCGAACTTCAGAGAAATTTGAGAACCCCTAAAAGCGGTTTATGAAAAATTGGGAAAAGCTCAGGGAAAGGTATGTAACTTGAGAAAGGCAAAGAACATTGAGGAGAGTTTGAGAAACTTAAAAAGAAAACCGCCGAGGAACTTAAAAAATATAAACTGGGAATTGAAACAAAATTGAAAAGTGAACATGAATGAACGTGAAGCAAGTTTGAGACGAACTTGATTGAAATCTCAGGAGAAGTTTAGGGGGAACTTGAAAGATACTTAAAAAGGAAATTCTGGGACACAGCGAAACATGTAAAAAGGTTTTCGCCCTAAGCTGAATAACTTTAGCGCTATCCTTTGCGAGAAATCTATAGTTATAATTGCAAAGAAATCTCCATAAATTGTCAGTTCGCTCATTTTTACTGTAAGCAATATGCTTGCTTGTAATAGAAGTATCTCGATCTGTGGTTAAAATTTCAACACATATTAATAAATAAATACGTTGATATTACGCAGCCGGAGCATGCGCACCTTAATTGTCAAGATTTTTCTTGGCTCATACAGAGCTATAAGCTACAGAAATCAAAAAGAACGAAATTATATGAAAACTGTAGTAGTTACCTCAGACGAATGGATAAACGGACGGACGGACGGACAGACAGAGAAAGTGGCTGCAATAGCGCCCACAACTTCGTTGGAAAATGCGCTATAAAGGAAATATGAGAATAACGCGAGGGGGAACTTGAGGAGAATGTGAGAGCAATTCTTGGCCGAAGTTGAGGCCCGATATTGAACAACTGGCGCTTGGAATTGCCTCTCAGATCTGTTGTTAGTCCCATGGGTTTGCGAAAAATTATTTAGCGACTTCCACCACGATGTTTTGTAACGGTGTGGTTTCGCGCTATCTCTTCAAGCGATGCACTCAGGTGAGAATACAATTTTAGCGCATTTTTTTAAAATAAAAAAAAAATGCTATTGTTTGCGTTTTGTTCGCCCGTTCGTCTGTCCGTGGACTTACTTCTGCGCAAAATAATAATTAAAAGTGCAACTAGACGTTAATAATTTGCATATCATAAAACGCGGAAAAAATCTTCTTTCCAATAGTGGCATTATGGACTCTCTAAGTTAATTTGGGGAGCAACAATCTGCGAAAAACTGTTTTCCCATGTTAATTCCCTATGTTCGGTTTGAAAGTATTTACCCGGTATACAGTGCGTCCAATATAAAAAGGAAAAGCAAGCAAGTCAAATGATATTTTAAAAATTTGTAAATTCCGATCAGTCCCGAAAAAAACGAAATTAATCATATTCGGTTTTATTTTTTGCCGGCCCTGTTTGAAAAGGTATTAAAAAATAAATAACACTTCCTCATAGGACCTTTTTAAGCTGTACAATTGGCGTCTTTGAGAAACCATCAACAACGATGTATGGCACAATAAGATTCTTTATCACCTATATCATTTAAAGGAACCATCAATGAATTATTTTGATCTTTTGTCAACGCCTTATTATTTAGCTCAGAAAAATGGCTTGTTACTAAATTTTTAACATTTTTGGTTTAGTAGGCGTTGACAAAATGTCAAAATAATTTGTTCTTCTAAATGACATATTGTACCATACATAATTGTATTCGTAATAAAAAATGCTACTCAATACATTATGTACTTTTTTCCGGTCCATATAAAAATATGAAGTTGTTGGTGGTTTCTCAAAGACGAAACGTCGCAGCGAAAATCTTATAAAATGGTAAGCTTAAAAAGTTACTTTTGGTTTTTTTTAATATTTTCGGAACTGATCGGAATTTCCGCATTTTTAAAACATCGTTTTATTAAGCCCTAAAGAAGCGAAATTCTCGGATCAAAAAGCTTCAAACCTTGGACTTAAGAACATTTTCGGCGTTTTTGATGGGGGGTATTTAATACCCCCACGCGCAGGTGTCGGGGGGGGGGGGGCAAACTTGAAGTGCCGCCAAGGGCGCGGTCATATTTAGTTACGGCCACTCGTACGGCTTTGATTCGTACGAGATACTTAGTCATTAGTCGCGAACAAAAAAATGCAAATGTAAAATATCGTTTGTTAGAGACGGCGGGGTGACGAGTGACGGAGCAAAAAATTCCGAGGGAAGACCCCCCTCCAGCAGGAGCAGTCTGTACACCTCCCCTCGCCAATCATTGTTAATAAAGGCACCGCAAAAAAATATTTCGCTCCAGGCCATAGATTCCTGAGGACTGCTCTGCATACGCATGCATTCAGTAGTGCCAATTAAGACTTTTGAAAATGGGGGGGGGGGGGACCACACGTTCTACCCTTCAGGGTATTCTAATGAAAGGTCTCATCGAAATGAATTGGTTTGTACAAACTACAACCTTCCTGCGCGACTCTTTTTCGAGATCAGTGGGTGATCGCAGGGGAGAGGGATGCGTTTCTGCAATGCGTTTTTCATACTAACTAAGGAATGCAATTCCGCAGCAAAATCTCAATCCCGGTATTTGCGGGATTGTTAGATGTTAATCCCGCGGGATCCCGGTATTTGCGGGATCTCGCAATCCCGGTATTGCATTCCCTAGTTTCTAATCCATAACTTTTGATTGAGAAGTCTGATCGAAAAAGTACGAATTGTTTTGGATTCTACGCACCAAAATCAATAAGAAAAACTGTTTTCCCGAGAAATTTGGGTGCAGTCGATTTTTGGTAAAAAAGGAAGGTTATATATTGCCTTTTTTGGGTCTCTCAAAAAAAATTGTCTCAGATCGATCCGGAAAAAAATTTTCTTATAGAATGTGGCTTGTAGAATGCATAATTTCAAACAGTTCCAAGATTGGGCTACTAGTTCAAAAGTTACAGCCCTTTGAATTTTCTTTCGAAATTGGTTTCTAGTCTATAACTAATTAAAGGTCTCAACAAAAGGAACTGTTTTCTACCAACTTTTGGAAGAAAAGGTTTACTGTGATTCCTTCTAGTTACCATTTACGTTCAAGTTGGTTCTCCCTACTGCAGATAATACTGAAGACCTCGTGATTTTCTGAAGTTATTTGGGTTGCATAAATATAGGCGTTTATTGTATTTTCGCCTCATGGTTGTCCCTGTACAAAACGAACCATGGAAACTTATTTAGAATCGCTGTCCACCTCCCCCCGCCATGTCCAACATTTAAATGTTTTGGAATCACTGACGATCTATCGCCAACATTAGAAAGTTACATTCCAAATCTAAACAAGTAGGGAAGTAGGTAAATACAAAATGGATCTGTGCACTGCTGATACAATTTCTCTCAAAGAAGAACAGAAACTATTTACTATCGACGAAGCTGATATTAAAAAAGAAGTGATAGAACCTCCCCCTCAAGAAGTCGTAGAAGTTGAACCAAAAGTGTCTGTGAAAGAAGAATGCCTCACAAACAACAGTTACCTACCTCAAATGAAAACAGAGCCAAATCTTGTATTAAACACCAAGGAGGAAAATACTCCCATGCTTCCCAAATATGACCCCTTAAAGTGTGGCATTTGCTCCTCTTCTTTTGAGACTGAAACTCACTTAAGTGATCACGTGCAGGAACCAGCACAAAAGCGTACATTTGAGTGTTGTGGCTGCCGTAAAAGGTTCAGAGATATGACACAGTTAAATGTACACTATCGGAAGCATACGGGTGAGAAGCCCTACAGTTGTGATACGTGTGGGAAGCAGTTTTCGATCAATGGCAACCTGAGCAAACACATGCGGACTCACACTGGTGAAAGGAGGTTTTCTTGTGAAGTGTGTGAACGAAAATTCACTCAGTATGCACATTTGGAGGATCACATGAAGACACATTCCTTGGACAGGCCCTTTCTCTGCGAACAGTGCGATGGGAGCTTCAAGACCAAGTCCAGACTGCGCAAACATATTAAGTCCCATGACCAAACTGTGAAACGTAAGAATGTAGGTTGCCAAATCTGTTTCAGAACATTTTGGAGTGCGAAGCAACTGATGGTCCACATGAGTAGGAGGCATACAAAGACCGACTTACCATTTCAGTGCATTGTCTGCGATAAAAAATTCAAGGAGTACCAAAACTACCAATCCCACATGCGTGTCCATAGAAAACATCCAATTATGCGCACTTACAAGTGCCACATGTGCGAGAAGTGCTTCGCGTCTTCCAGCCATTTAAGCAGGCATATTAACTCCCATGCAGGTATTAAGCCCTACATCTGCCAGTTGTGCATGCGCGCCTTTCCGTGCTCCCAGAACCTGAAACGACACATGATGACCCATACTGGTGAAAAACCGTTCACGTGTGAGACTTGCCAGAAATCCTTCCTAACTTTGGAGAATCTAAATAGGCACACCCGGGTGCACACGGGCGAAAAACCGTACGAGTGCCCGACGTGCGGGCGCCATTTTGCACACAGCACCACCGTCAAGGAACACATGAGGCTACACACGGGTGAAAAACCTTTCGGTTGCAGTGTATGTAATAAAAGGTTCGGTATGAACAAGCTACTGTACAGGCACATACGAAAACAACATCCGGAAGAGGCGGGTCTTATTATTAAAAAGGAAAATCATCGTTCCTTTCATTATGTCGATATTAAAAGTGAGCCCATCAAGACAGAATGAACATTTTTTTTTTAGAAAATTGATTGTTATTGTTATTTACTGGTCACGGATTTAAGTTAACATTGCCTCTATGCTAAGGTACATTTGTTATTAATTTTGCACAAAGGCACTTTTTTTATGGACTGTGTTGATTCTCAAATGTTTTTTTTTTGTATTGGTATGCACCTTTATAATATATATATTATTTAAAACATGTTTTGTATTGGTTTTGATATTGTATTTTCCAAATACGTTACTAAAAGGTATATATAATGACATGCTTTTGGTAATTTTATAATTTTCCCAGTTTCTTATTGGCGTTATGGGGCAGGGGCACCGTCTTGCTGGAAACCGATATTTTTTTAAATTTTCACAAACATTTTGTAATGTAACCGATGAAAAATGTTCTACAAGAATATGCAAACAAAATTATCAAGTAATTTAAAAAAATGTCAGTGGCATCATAACATGTAAATGGAGGTGTTTATACGCCAATAAGACCCTAATCAATAATAGGGTTTGTTAATGGTTATTAAATCATAATTAAAGCGCTATAGCATTGGACCCTTTTTGTCTGTAGAAGCTCTAAAGACGACCTTTTCACCCCAGATTTTAATTGATAAATAAACATTTCGCCCTCTTACTATGCTGCAAATTGCTGTGCAGGTAAGTTACCTCGTCCATCAATGATGGACTAGATTCCCCTTTCTTCTCCTGATGGTTTCCCATTGAAAGAGACGGATATTGAACTCGCTCCGTCGCAACTGAACACTTCCGTCCCGTATCTACCCTTCCGCGTACAGCTGGAGCACGATAATGTGACTTGCGAGATCTCCGCGTATGTACGCCTGGAAGTTCTGCAGATTGAATGCCCTATAAAATGACTTAGGGATTCCGAATGCGAGGAGGACCCTACTTATAGGCTTCTGAAACCAGGGCTTTGCCTGTCGAGGCGCTTCAAGATGGCGGCCGTGTGATCCGTGTACGTATTGTACTGTCACTTATATTAGGGACTGAACTTTCAAAGATGCGCCGTTCAGGGGCCTAATAGGAGGTACCGTCCTCTCCAGCTAGTCTAAGGTGCACTGGTCCTCGCAGTAGCACTCATCGGAACCCTGCTAGTCTATCACGCAAACGACGACGTATACTTCAACTGAGGTTCAATTATGTCTATCTCCGTGAGTGTAAACCCGACCGCATCAGCAACTTGCCTATATGTCCGTGGTAAGCACCAACAACTTTGAGTGTCCTGAAACCTTCGGGACTGGCCTGAGCAAGACCCAGGAGTGCTTACCCCCGATCTGAGACGCTTGGTCCTTGAAATCGGGGTGCCCCTGAGCCCAAACTCCGTCTTAGGCTCTAGCGCAGGACGCGCTTGATTTGAGGTCTTATTCTCTAGCCCTAGCTGATGCGTCCTGGTTATCAACTTCTACGCACGACCTTTGTAGATACCAATGGGTTTCAGCTCCGACGAGTGGGGCGTGTGGGTGGGTCTCCTCCTATCCGCCACTCAGAGGCACCCTCAATGGGTCTCTTCACCAAAGGGATTCCTTCGATGGGCAACGACATCTATAACTCAACGTAACTAAAACACCGTTTGCCCAAAGCAAAGAAAAAGCGCCCCAAGAGGAAGCCTGCCCCGTTGCCAGAGTCCAGCTCGTTGGTCCAATCTGAAATTATCCATATAATTCTCAAGGGTCATGCGGAACTGCGGTTTCATCTGCGCTGTGCCGTTTGCTTAGGGTTTCGCTACCAACCGCTTCCCGAAGGAAAGAAGCCGCCACTTGGAGGTCGCCCAGTATCAGAGGGTCACCCTTATAGCCACTGCACCCCGGTGCAACGCGCAGTCCGTGGCACGGTAGGTTACACCTTGAGTTGAGAGGTTGATCCACGGCGACAACCTTCGTGGATACCATTCTGGCTTTTTCCGACCGGCTGAGCCATTTGTAATTGTCTCTACCCACAACCGCAGCACGAGTACTCCTGGCCATCACCTTCTGTGCGCCATTCCTATTCTTCTAGCGAAAAAGATAGGTGACCCACCACCAGGTTCTGCGTCAACGTAAATCGCACCGTCTGCGGAAAACAAAGAAGAAGCGTCCCAAAAAGATCTTAGATCAATAGAAATAGTGAAGAGACTGCCTCAACAGCAAAATTCCATTAGGTTAAGGCTGCACATGAGAGTGTATAACAGCATCCAGCCCTACTGCGCCCGATTCGTAATTCGTTTACAATAGAATGAATGGTTAGCCATGGGCTACTGCTAACTCTCTCACCTAGGATTCGATAGACTTCAGAGTCACACCACGACAATCTCAACATCCCTGGAAACCAATATCCATAGAACAAATAAAATAGTAGCAGTATGCAACGCTGAATTCTATTACTCTTCCAAAGAACCTTCAGTAAAGTTTGATTAACATATCAACTGCATTGTAGTGATGCCTTGGAATGGAAATGAACACTGCCGTTGCTTCAATGGTCACACTGACATCAGGATCAGGGTTGGATCCCCACAACTTATATGTAGGTGTAAGTTGTAGGAATGTTATAAGCTTGTATCTCTATGGATATGGTACTCCTTATTGTGGCATCTAAAAAACCATAACCAAGAGGCTTTAACCTCCGTGTATGATTTATGGCCATTTCATGGAGGCTCAGACATTACTCAATGTAGATGACAATCACCATAATACATCCCATGGGGAAATTATTTTCCACAAATATCGGTTTCCTTTTCCTCTATTGCTTTCACATTAGTTTAAATATAACGCTACCGGAGTTCAAACACCGGAACTGAATTATGAAGGGAATATTGATCCAAATAAGCCTTGTCAATTTGGTTCTGCCGCAGATTCCACAATTTTTAATTCAAATATTCACAAAACCGCCAACGGTAGGCCATCTTTTTTGACCGTGACGTCATAAATCGTCGCAATGCTTTCTCAAATTCCCACTGTTTGTGTGGGAGCGCACGCGTTTCGAACTGTAAACGATCACAAAATGCGTAGGCGATTTCCTTCCCTATCGAAATACATTTTACCGTCTAAAATTGCTTGTAGAAAACCGACCAGAGGTAGGGGAAAACTTAGTCTAGCGTAAATTCTGCCACAGAAGCATCGGATCAGAAGCTATTCGTCATTTGCATCGAACGACGCAGTCGCATTTTTTGTGTGTGTTTTGTTATGTGAAGACAATTTTTCGCGTGATTTTTCTTTTTCGTTCCCTTAAAAGCGGTGTAATCCAATTGTGATAACTGTTCAAGGAATAAGTACTTAGAAAGGCCTTAAAGTGACGTTATTTTGTGTGCCTCGACAAAAACGATCATCTCGGAGCGAATGTGTGAGTAACATTTTTAGTCCCTTTAAAAAAAATTTCGGGAGCACTCCATGACTATCGGAATGCTGTAACTTACGAACTTTATCTTATCTTTGGGTTTACCTTTACAGTATTTAAAACTATTGTCCTTCATTATTCGATTTCCGCTGTCTCTCAACTCACGAGTTGTTTTAGCTGCAGGCGAAGACAAAGCGGTTCTTACTTCTTACATCACTTCGTGATTCGAGATCACGGTCACAATACGAAGATGAATTTGTTTGGGAAAGTGCACGCAATTGTTTTTTGGGCCAGATTTCAACGCCTACGCAGACTTTGTTTTTTTTTTACAGCCCAAGTTCTGTCATACCAAGGATGAGTTAAATGTCTCGCAGGCCAAAGCCACTGACCGCGTCAACTCTTGCACATTTAATTTATAACTGGACGAATGCAACTGCTTATTATTGTAGTACTCTATTATTTAACATTATCTTGAAGTCTTCAGGGGCAGCATAAGAGCCTGTTTCTTGTTAAAGGTAGATTTATTGTGCGATTAGTCATCCGTAATAATTTCAACCGGTGTTGCCAGCTCCATTCAGAATTGAATCATAGGTTAAATTGAGCAGAAAGTCTTGCGACAATCGACAATGCGTTATTGATTTTTTTACTTCCGCAACGTTTTGTTTTGATTTTTTCTTCGATTGTAAAACTGTGTCAAGCACTCTTTCCACAACCTCAAAACCTGATATCTTTGGCAGTGAAACACAAACAAAGGTCTGATTCAAATGTGTTACTCAATGGTGTCATAACCAAATTCCTTACATACAACAATAATAGCCAGACATTTGATGAATAAATAATGAAAAACTGCAATAAGTGAAATGACTTGTGTAGGAATGACATTGGGACCTATACACAGGATATCCGTCTGACAGCTTTAAACCAATCGCCAGTTTTAAAATCAACAAGTTTATTTGGCTAGCACTGATAGATGCCAAAAAATGTCTAAAATCTCGGGAACACGGTTATTAAAAACAATGGATCAAAATGCCTGTTGGAAATCTTCGGATATACAGGGTGTCCCGTGACACAATGGACATAGCTTCCAGCATATTCATTGGCCAATTTTAAGTCGACATTGCCTTGTACACTTTGTCCAAAACTCGATAATTAAGGAGTTACGGGCACTATTCAATTTTCAATAAATCGATTTAGTAGGCCATGTACCTAATTGTTTTGTCATATTGTTTATGGTAACATTGTTTATTCATTGACGTTGTAAGATTAAATTGATCTGGCTATACGTTTTCAAATCAAGAATATGCGAATAGTCACTTTATTTACGGATACTGTGACCGAAATGCAAGAGCGACAGTGAGGGAATATCAGCGGAGATTTCCTGATCGAAGAATACCTAATCGGCCTCGTAATCGGCTATATCAATTTAATTTTAAAATTACAACGTCAAAGAATAAACAGTGTCACCATAAACAATATGACAAAACAATTACATGGCCTACTAGATTGATTTATTGTTAAATTAATAATAAAGTATTGAATTTTGGACAAAGTGTATAAGGAAAACACCACTTAAACACCTAAGACACCCTGTATATGAGCAACACGTTGCACTGGTGTCAGTGTAAAAAATGAATGACAGCCAATTCATGCAAAAACACCAGGAGTTGGTCGTGGGGGAAATTCTGGTCATCCGCATAGCAAATTGCAAAGAAATATGAGGGAAATTAGAAGAAATTCTGGGGAGAATTAGAGGAAATTTTGAGGGTTGATCGGGTTGATGAAATTCTCGAGGTATTTGCAGTCACCGAAGGAAACTCGCCCCCAGAATATTCGTCGCTAAGAAAACACCGAGGAAAACACATCAGGAAACTAATCACAAATAAGTAAATCTGGTAGTAGTCCACCCTAGTATTTCGGTATTCGCCACGAAAGGTTTCTTCTAAGAAATCTCACCTCAGTATAAATTACTCTTTAGCGCTTTTTTTAAGTCTGAGTATTTTGGAGTGCAAATGCGTCTTGAAAGAGTGGCGAATTTCTTTGAGGACCGAGTTGAGGACGAATCTAGAAGCGAATATTCCGACGGCAAGTTTTTGGGGTACAACTGAGAAGACGAAGAGTTTGGGGTCAACATTTACAGGGTTGTAAATCTTAGAGACAAATATTCTAAAAGTGCGTTGTGAAAATCTTACGCCACTTTCCATTGTAAAGTGTTTCTTTTGAGTACGAATTTGCTTGGATCGCGCGTTCCCGGTTCTGTTAATTAAGGAGAGAATTTTGTTTAGAAGGAGGGAATGCATTAACATGGGGTACAAGCACTTCGAAGTTTTGGGGCTAATATTAATCCGAACAATAATTTTGCTGCCATTTTTTTATTCAAGTAGGTATAAATAAAGGCAACTGAAGACTCACTTCATCATCAAGCAACTAAAATACCACCACCACTTAAACACTATCATGCATTTTAATATAGGTAAACAAATTCTAATAAGACACGTGAATTCAATTTATCATTTATCTCATATTTTCTCGCATAATTAACAACTTAGGGCAATTCGTAACACATGCAATGAGATAAAGACAAAATACCGGCAAAATACTCACCACAAGGCGAAGGTTTTATTAGAATACTTGTATCGAATGAAAATTTTCAATCAACTTCGCATAAAACGTGCGGTTTGTTCGACTGCTCGCATCAAACTACCTCTTTCTTATCGCGACCACTACTTCGAGACGATAAACAGCTTTTTAATAAAATTAGGGGCAATAAAACATATCGTGCCATCTGAATTTTTGTTTTAGTTACTAATGGTTAAAGAAAACTACACAATAACAGTGTTGAAGCAGGAAAATTGTCCAGCAATCTATAGGGCGAATTAAAAAAATTATTGAATTAATCACTTAGTAAATTCAGACTGTGGACCGTGGATTAGAGTAGAGGTATATCGGCGTATGTATTTTGATCTACTTACATCTAAAAAAATGGAAACGTACTTAATCAAACAACAATGGAAATTTCAAAGATATGATTCCTGAACAGTTTCCATGAACGCTTTTCCGAAAATTTGTCCTAAAAGAATTTATAATAGAACCTGTAAGTGTCCGGGATGCCAATAAGAAGATTTCTAATGGATTACTTCTAGTACCGTTTTTCGGAAGATCTTCGACTTGATCCTCGACTTGATCATACCCATCAAGAAGTCATTTTTAGCCTGATTTTTAGATTGTTTCGGCGCTAATTTCGAAGGAAATCCCTAGGTTTTCAAGACGACCTCTAGGAAGTTTAATTGTATACTCGATTGCATATAAAAATTACGAGAATTGTTACAGGAAGACGTACTTGGAAGTTTCAATACTAGCAACTCTTACGACTTTAAATATAGGTAGTTATGTTCTTATATTGAAACAAAATATCTTTTTTGCTTGATGCTTTAAAATACAGGGTTTCCAACGAAGAGCCGAGTTCTAGTTTTTATTCATTGGTGATTAACAATTAACTTGACAATTAGTAAGTACGTAAAATTGGGCGGCAGACTGGACCAAAACAAACATTTATTTCAAATAAACCAAAGGTCTAATATGGTTCATTTGTGAGCTACGCTCCTAAAAGTTTTAAAATATGAGTTTCGTCTTTAATTTGTTCTCTGCAGCTGTAATACATACATACATATAAGGATTTTGGATATGCACTTTCCGATATTTCAAAAATGATTCCAAAATTTCTACCGCAAATGGTTGTGCCAAAAAATTCCGAATTGGCTAAGTTTCGTGTTCAAGTTTTGGAAAAACTACTCGCCACTTTTATTTTTAAATACATAGAGTGTACCTAGGGGCCATCTGGTAGAGAATATCTCGATGGATATCTGGTGTACATGCACGGGGATGTCCGAGGTTATCTGAAGATATCGAAGGATGTCCGAGGATATCCTGAGGGTATCTGAGAAAACTCCGTTAAAATGAACTGCGTGATTTCTGCAAGCAATAAACGTGCATGCTCAGACTCATTTTAATATTTATATGTAGGTACCATTTTGTTAAATTTTGCAATTTTTGTTATGTACGCGGTTGTGGGTACCTGTTTGTACGCCGAGTAATTAGGGTAGGGGATACAGAGAGTAAGAGATTGTTCATTATCTTTTTTGAAATGGAAATTTATACCTACAAAAATTCTTAATGAAGCTACACGGTTCATGGGAGATGTGCCCATTCCCCTCAACTTTTTTTTATAATAGTCTAATGGCAAGGATATCCGGCTATGTTTTCACAAAAATGCGTATACCCATCTTAGCAGAGTTGGACACAAAGTGTAAGGATTGTAGGATAATTTCACTCGCAAGTCATAAAATTTTATTTTAACACCATCAGAAACCTGCGAAAAAATGGTTTTGTTAAAATTATTTGTTGATATTTTTGAAAATAATAGAACGCCAGCGCATTTTGAAAAATGAAATTTTTCGGTTTTTTAGCAATAACTTCCCTGTTTGTAGAGCCACAAAAAAATTAATCAGCATAAAATTCTGCAAAACTTTAGCCATTTAAGCGACTTTGTATCGACCCTGTATTAAAAAAATCCGCATATAAACAATGTCAACAATTGAAGAGTTAGTTGTATGTGCTATAGAATAATTTGCCAGGGACGCTTTACCCCATTTAATTACGAATGAACAGTATTTGAAATTGTATGGCCTAATACTTTCAGTAAATACAAATGGTTTTAGGATAGTGCTAGGTACCAGGTCAAGACGCCTTACATTTATTTCAAAAGATCATTTTGCAAAAAAATATAAAGTAAGAGTGGATAAATTTATAATTAATGAAACAGCCCGAGTCCCAATTCCTCGACATCATCCGGTGATACCGAGGGTGATACTATTCAAAGAATATCTAGGGATATACTCGAGGATATCTGGGTGGGATCCCCAAGAGATTCAAAGATATCTTGCCTTAAGGGGTAGGTACAAAATTTTACGACAGGATGCCCGCTCGGAGTGTACCCCCGTAGGTACCCC